TGTAGTATCAGGCTGCAACATAACAACACTGAAAAAAGTGAAGGGGGTCTGAATACTTTCCAAATACACTGTATATTGGATTCATTTTTACATTTCTGTACATCTAAGGCAACATCTCCTAACTAGTGTTTTCTTGTTACGTTGGGCTTCAACTTTCCTCCATAATCCCCCAAATATCAAGTGGGGAAGGTGGAATGGTTAGAGTTTTAATTCAAATTTATTTTACCGAAATCTAGCATATCAATAGAAATTTTGGATTTCTATTTCACAGGAACTACTTTGAAAGCCAGTGGAAGACATACCTGGAAATTAGAGGGATCTCAGATGGGAACTCTCCTCCTTCCTTCCCTGAAGTATTTGGTGTGAAAGAGAGAGATGAATTCTATACTTCCTTGAGTTTTTCTGGGTGGGGAGGTAGTAGTGGCCATGATGCCCCCATGATTGCCTATGATGCCATATTGGGTTCGAAGAACTGGACTGAGTTGGCTCTGCGGAGCTTCTTTCATGGTGGGGACAGTGACTCTACTGGGGTGATTGCTGCATGCTGGTGGGGGGCAATGTATGGCTTCGAAGGGGTTAGTGAAAAAAACTATAAAGAAATTGAATACAGAGATCGACTGGAAAAAGTAGCTAAGGAACTCTATCACCTCAGCTTGACTACATAAAGGTCCTACCACTAGAGATGAAGCAACCATTAAAACGTAGCAAAATAAAATTCTTCTCAAGAACTTGTAAAAGAATATGAAAAGTGAATACATCTAGTGATTTAAATTATGTAGGAAATACTACTAGAAGCTGCACCACTATCTGCCACTAAAATGTTACAAAGTTAAGAATTTGAATAGAGTATAAAATTTAGCTGGAAAAAGGGGAAAAGGAAGATAGCTCTCATTTTATTTGCAAAATTAATTGGGACCTCTAATCTTTGGTGTTTCATTTGCATTTAGAAATGTGGCAGAAAAATCTGAAACAAGAGTTTTTGATACCATTTAAATAATGTGTCCTGCATTAGGCTTTCTAGGGAGTGTGTAGGCAGATGATAATTATCCCTACCCCAATTTCACTTTTTGGATTGTAGTTTTAGATGATCGGAGAGGGCCATTAGTCCTCTGGTTGCAATTGAGCTGTTGTCATGCTTCAGTTCAAATTGCTCCCATAAATATAAGCAGTACTGTGCAGACTTCTGACATTTTGCAGGCAGTGAGCCACACCTTGGCCTCAGGAATTATTAAGTTTTGCTTAGCATCTTGCAAACTTTGTGCATTCTACCAGTAGAGTTCTGAAATAAGTTCATTTGGATTGAACACATCTTGCACCTAGATCTCTAACAACTGAGACTGAGAAATATGTTCTATATGTTTGCTTTTAAAGATAATCCCTCGAGGAAGGGGGGGGGGGAAGATAAAACAATTGCTAAGCAGAGAGATATTTTGCATACCGCTAATAAGATACTGGAATATCAGCTTAGTTTCCCCTTCCTTCCCCAGCATTGTTGAATGATTAAGGAAAAGCAGATCTTCTATCTGCCACTATTTCTAAGCCCCAGTGAAGTTGTATGTTCATAGTCTTAGCTTTCACAGCGAAAGGGGAATAGACCAGTGAAATCCATTCTTCTGTACAGGTGACTCATCTTAGGCACTTGTCCAATAGTTGTGTTGCTGTGCACATGGCAGTGATGCCAAGCCATGGCTAGAGCAAGAACCTTGTGGCTTGCTGCAGTTGAACATCCAACTTGACATGAGCAACACTTTGATAGCCGGGTTGTATCAATAAAAAGAAGTTTTGTTAACAGTTCAAAACCATTAATACAGGACATTAAATCACCATTTTAACACAGTTTACTACAGCTTGCATGTGTGTTGTATAAAACATTTAGTGCAACATGGTACAAAGTTCTCTTTAATAATAATAAAAAACACATTGTTTCCTCACATCATGCAAAGGTAGCTTGTTCCTTTTTCTCTGGGTAGAGAAAGAGTGGTCCAAAAAGCTTTGTGTAAGCTTTTTGCAGGCAGTGCCTGTGTTTTAAAAAGAAAGCCCATCCTGAATTGGTAATAAGCTTGGCAGCACAACAGACAAGTCATTTGCACGTGATCCTTGGTGCTGCGTGTGGGACAATTTTCCCACTATCTAGTGGCTTTAATGACATCCACATACTTTCCCAGGAGTCCATAGTCCACAGATTGGAGAGCTAGCCGCTGGATGTCGCTGTGGGATAGCTTTCCATAAGCAGGAGTGCAGAGACAAAGGGAAGGATTGCTGGTAATGTAGGGAAGCATTGATGCTACTAGGTCAGTTCAACACATTTCCAATGCAAAGATAAGGAGCAATGTTGTTTGGGGCAGGGGATTGTCCCACTGCCTCCTTTCCTTTTTAAGACCTGAACTCAATCACAGCTCCTGCCCCCCTGCAGTATATGTACAAGACATTTTACATGTATAGAACTGAAGAGAGAAACTAGGACCTTTTTTGGGGGGGAGGGTCTCATTTTCTTTTTCTTTTTAAATTCCCCCACTTCTGAATAGACAGTGTAGGCAGACAGACTAAAAGTATATGTGTTTTCAAATTGCACATTATATAGGATTAATGTTTTGCAGAGGCAGATTTGGTTCCGGGAACTTTCTGGGTGCTTTATTAGGATGCTACAAAGTTCTTTTATAAAAGGGAGACTTTTCAAAACCTCAGATCAATAGTGGTTTTTTTCCCCTAGAGCACCTGCCTCAACCTAACGTCCTCTATGTGTGTTGTATTACATATCTGTTATTTCTAGCCAGCATAACCAACGGCCCTGCTGACTGGGAATTATGTAAACTGTAGTCTCTACCCATCTCAAAGACACCAGGTTGAGAAAGACTGCTCTAGTACTAGTATAACAGGCATGTCTTTCTCTTGACATAAGAAAAACCTCTGCATCAGTGTTAAAGCACCATTCATTAAGTTTAATTTGTTATTCGCACAAATTGCTTTAATAAGGGCAAATTAGCAAAACTCCATGTTTTCACTCTTCAGGAAGGAAAACCTGCTCTATTGCTATTCTCTTACCACTGATCACCACCTTCGTGTCAAGACAGCAGAACATGCTGGCATATATCGCTGACACTATGAATCCTTACACAGATTCATCCATTTTATGAAAATCAGCAACAAGCTGTGCCAGGAAGACTTTTAGGAAGACAGTAAACACACACTTTTAAAAAAAGTTTCCCTGTCTCTGTAGCTAGAATCAGGGCACAAGAGATCTGGTCCATCATGTATAACAAGCATTTTCCTGGACAGCGCATGAAAGAGCTGTTGACTTTCTCTGGTGGGAAGTAGGAATTCCACCTGAACTGAACCAAGGTCTCTTAATGATGTGCCTTTCATAGAAAGAACAGCAGTTCTTAGCCCAGCATATTTTCACTTATTGTGGCTTATGCAAGGCTGGTGGAATGAAGATGAAGAGTAGTGTACCTGAAGAAATAAAGCTGAAATAACAAAGCATATACATATATTGGAGGGAAGGAAGACCATTCATACCCCTTCTTGCCTGATGTAAGCTTTGTGCAGACAGTGCAACTGGACACAACACTTGTAAGAAACAGAAGTTGGTCACTTTGTCAGCCCTTTCTCTGTTCTATTTCAACATTCCACAGTTATTACAGTGCTAGGCCACATAAAGAGGCAGCTATTTCCGTATGTTTCATAAATCATGACTTTGGTCAAGATTAGGAATTTTATCTTTTTCCCCTGCAGTCTCCAAGTGTGATAGTGGAGGATAATAAAACCAAAGGCAACTGTGGGCCTTTCTGGTCATCAGAATTAGACAGGTAATTGTACTTAGGGCAGTCAAGATTTTTCTTTGATGGACTGGAATTTCTTTTTGAAGGTAAAAGCAAAGCCCTTCCCCTACCCCCAGTATGCATTTTTAGTCCTCAAGGAATAAGAAACATCCAGAGACCAATATGGCAGAAACAATGCTGCTTAATATGTGGTATGGAGTGGTCCTAGGTTCATTTTCTCAAAAGCAATATGCAGTCTTTCTGGCCCACTCCAAAATCAAGGACATGTAGCTGCTAAAACAAGCTCATTTGATAAAACAAGCTTACTCAAAATAAAGTGGCCCACTTTGGCACAACCAGAGCCCAACCAAAATCAATACATTCTGAAGTCTGTCCTCTGCATAATACAAGAATACGTATTTGAGCAACAGAATTACAGCCCAGAGGACAAATGATGACACTGGATGAAAAGGAAAACGGTATGAAAATCCACTATATACAGTGAACAGATGACATTCTATCCCCCTTAGCAGTTGGCTGGTTCTTCACAGGCATTCTGGGATGTTCAAGTTCCTCTAGCCCCAAAGGTGACAGAACAGTATAACAGGTAAGCTGGTATTCAAAAGTTCAGATGTTAAATAAAAAGACAACAAAATACACCTCCTTTGGGTTTCAGATACAGCTTTACCTCTCATAGGGCTCTTCCATTTAATCTATAGTTCCTGGATGAATGCTGAGAACAGGAGGCTCCAGACAAGTGGGTGAATAATTTAGATGCGGCTCTTTGATCCATAGCAAGGGGACCCCATTCTTTCCTTCAGAATTCTTACTGGAGTTTCGGCTTTTGAATCGCACTAGAAGAATGGTGATGATGAGAATGCCAAAGATGGGAAAGGGGTAAAAAAAGACGAAGTAGAACAGGGAGTCATTGGTGCAGATAACAGATTGCAGAGAGGAACCTAAAAAAAGAGTGACAAAGGTAATAATAAACTTTCAGGTCAATAAATTTATTTTTCTGTATATACCAACATACTAATTTGTGTGTGTATATGTATGTGTGTGTGTGTCAAGTCAGTCTTGATTCCTGATGACTACACAAAGTGCAGTTCAGTTTTAATATTCGTGCAGTTTTCTTGGCAACATCTCCAGAAGAAAGCCATTGCTTTCCTTCTAGGGGTGAGAGACAATGACTGTCCTAAAGTCACCCAATTGGCTTCTGTGCCTTAGCCAGGAGTAGAACTCAGGTCTTCCTGCACCTAGTCCAGTGCCTTCACTAGACCAAACTGGCTCTTGTAAACAACCATTAAAGCCCTACATGGCATGGGTCCAGGCTACCCAAGGGATTGTCTCACCCCCCTCACATTGACCAGTCCCAGCTGGTCAGGCAGAGAGGGCATGCTACAGACCCTGTCAGCGAGAGAATGTCGGCTGGCAGGGCCCAGGAGAAAAGCCGCCTCTGCCGTAGCCCCCACCCTCTGAAATATTCTCCCCCCAGAAGTGTGGTGGGCCCCTTCCCTCCTGGCTTTCTGGAAAGAACTAAAGACCTGGTTCTGTCAGCTTGTGTGGGGTGAGAAGAGTTTTAACCAACCCTGGGGGTGGCTGGCACTCAGATGACACTCCCTGAGCCTAATAATTTCTAGCTACCATCAATTATCTTGGAAGATATTTACTATTTATTTAGGATTAATTGTTATATTGTATTTTTAATTAATATTTATCTTTCCTGTAAACCCCCAGAGCTGTTTTCTAATGAGATGGGCGGTGACAACTTTGATATATAAATAAATAAATAAAATAGCAATATGCCAAATGTGACTAAAATCACTCCTGTGTGAGCAGAACACTTTTAACCAAAAGGTTGTGTTTATTACAATTTTTCAAATTCCATAAAAAGGGTACTGTACCCCTCAAGCACTAAAAATGAGTATAAATGGCCATATGTACAGGCTATAGACTGGCACCCAAGGGGAAATTAATTTTTAGATCTTTGTTCCCTTTTGCTCTCATATCCATAACCTTTCAAAAGAACAGTACTATCACTGAGAAAGAGCTACCACCTGCTATACCTGTAGTTTTATGGAAATAAAATACCAGAGACTGGAGAATAAAGATAATGTAGTAGACTAGGATCTGAGAGATCCAGATTCAGCTCCACCCTTACCTATGGAAACTCACTAGCTGATTTTAAATCAGTCATTTTCTCAGTGTAATCTACTTCACATGGTAGCTATAATGAAGGTAGATCCCAATGTAAGCTGCCTTGAGCTCTTTTAATAAAGGCAAGATATAAGTCTGGCAAAACAAGTGAACAAAATAATCCTGTCTAAAATCTGATCCTCTGTGTTGCCAGAGTAGGCACCCATAGCTTTTAGGAGACTAAGGATTGCATTGGCTTCTGGCTGGCATGCTGGGGATTGACTCTGTAGGTTAACTAAATTTGATTAGTTTTCATTTAAGTGTAATGAATACAATTAATATGTATATGCAGTTGTTTTCTCCTATTAAAAAATTAAAGTTTGGTGGCAATTTAAAGACCAAAATTAAAGTTTGGTCTTATTCAGTGCTTTTGGGACCTGTACTGGAAAGATTCTAAGATATTAAATCCTCAATTTGCATTACATAATCATTTTGATGTAGAAAAGTAGCTATTCCAGTTAATATGTAACAGGTATAAGGTTGGCTAAACACATCATGTCTTCCCAGAGATTCTTTTCCAGTGCTACCATAGTGCTAATTTTCTTCAATTTGTTTCAGAGAAAATCTAAAACATATTTAGATTACCCAGAGTGGCATAGTTGTCATTATCTTGTAGGTTGCTCCTATGTTACATCCAGCATAACTTGCAACTTCCACCCATATTTTTTGGATATATCATCTGGTTATTTTTCATACTTGCAACACTCAGCATGGCATGTATTATTTGCAATTAACATTAAAAAGCATGGGCAGAAGTTGCAGTTCTTACTGGGCTTAAAATATCTGTGATATGCAATGACTAATTTCATTATCTAATATTCTGAGAACACTTTACTCAATATAGAACCCTCAAAATATTCTCAGGTTATATTCTCACTGAATTTTTACAAGCCCCATTCCTGTCCATTGAATACCATCATCACCTCACCTGTATCTTGCACATAAACAGTTATAAGACCAGAATCTTCCTCAGTCAGTTTGTACCACATTCCCTTGGGGTCAGGTAGCCACTCTTCCACATGGCATGAGTAGTTGCCAGCATCAGTAGTAGCTGCCTGCAATACAGTCAGCCGATAGAACATGGCTGAAAGCCTCTGAAAACGTAGTCTCCCTTCCCAGGGGCTGGCCTCTCGGCTGAAGATGAAATCCTGGCCTACTCTTAACAAGGCCTCTCTATCTTCTCCATTCTTGTGACCAGCTTGCCCACTTCTATCTTTACTCTTCGTGATGAACCATGTCACAGCAAAACGGGAATCCTGGCTGGTAGGTGACAAGATGTTGCAATCCAAATGGAAATGGCCCTGTTCTGGCACTGTGAGGTTGGCTATTGCTGCATCCACTTGCAGTGAGGCATCTGAAGATATTGAAGACAGACAGAGGCCAATTAGTTTCTCTAATTGTACAGAACATGTGCTCAATGCTGAAAAGCAAAATTGGAATTTCCTGAGTAGCCCTCCCCTCAGAAAAGAGTTTCCTGCAATGAGACACACAATTAGGTTTGCCTGCAAGGGCTTGTTCTTCTTGGCATAGAAACCAGGAGATCAAAAGAAGCATAGTAAAGAACAAGCTGTAAGTGTATACTGCCAACTTTTAGATAATCAAGAAAGGGACTGCTAAGAAACCAAGTGCTGGAGAATAGAGCGTGGCCATGGGGCAAATATCACAAAGAATACCATATTCAGCCTTTTTAAAATGTCCTGATTGGAATGAGATTACCCAAAGCCTGAAATGGACAGGAAGATACTCATGCCTCCCTGGACAACTTCTGCAGTCCAAGAATTATGATTATGGAATGGTGCTATGCAACTGAATGTTCTTTGGAGCACCCTGTTTCGAAGGTTTGTCCTTACATTTGTTATCTTTCTAACATTTTGGTAACAATAGAAGATAATATATGTAGCTCAGGGTTGAACTGTGGAGTCTTTGGTGTTCTCTGAGCTTGGTTGTTTTCTTACAGACGTTTCATTACCCAACTAGATAACATCTTCAGTGCTTCA